CCGGTCCTCCCCAGCGCCTCCCAGCACCTTCCTCCTCCTCTCCTTCAAGACACCGTCTTGCCAGGTCCCAGCCAGCGCCTCCTCCTCCTCCTCCTCCTCCTCCTCCTCCTCCTCCTCCTCCTCCTCCTCCTCCTCCTCCTCCTCCTCCTCCTCCTCCTCCTCCTCCTCCTCCTCCTCCTCCTCCTCCTCCTCCTCCTCCTCCTCCTCCTCCTCCTCCTCCTCCTCCTCCTCCTCCTCCTCTTCCTCCTTCCCTGTCTCCGTAAAACAACATGGCAGCTCCAGTGTTTATGGGGACGATCCCCAGATCCCTCGTGGGATACTTCTCATCCCGTGCTTTCTGGATTTGGCTGCGCCTCACCAACGGCACCAATAAAAAATACAAGGCCCCTCCACAGCCATCAGAAGAAAAAAATTATGACCCTGTCTCAGCGAGGACCTTGCTGCTTTTTGGGGAGACAGAGCCCTTCAAAGGGGTTTAGGGCCCCCCCGGCTCCGGGGGTGATGCTGGGGAGATGTCCCACCTCCCCTCCGGTGCCAGAGCTGCACCACGGTCCTGTGGCGCGATCCCACACTGGGCTCGGCAAGGTCTCGGAGGCAAGGAGGGGGACGGGGCTTTGGGCTGAGCTCTGCCTGCCTGGCGCGGGTGCGCAGCCAGCCCCGGCGCGGGTGGGTGCCGACTTTCATGCACGATATGATCTCTCCCAGTCCCTCTTCCCCCAAGGGGCGACGCTGTGTACAGAAGCCACAGCATCAGATATAAATTATTGGAGCTTTTCTCACTCCCTGGTCCTCTTCCTAATTTTTTTGAGTTAAACTTGCATTTTTGGCTGGTGTTTCCCATAGTGCTGCACGGCCCGGAGCAACTGCTGTCGCTCTGCGTCTTCGCCGCGCCGACCCGCCCGTTTTCTGGAGAAAGTGGAATTAATTCGGGAAGGCCCTGGATGCCCCTGCCAGGGTGAGCCGGGAGATGCTCGTCGTGTTCAGCAGCAGCTGGGAGACGCTCAGCACTGCCCAGGATAGGGACCAAACGCCGGGGAAGGAGGGCATTGACAGGAGTTGTTTAAATGCCCCCTTAAACTGGAAGCTGCGCCCCTTGGAAGCAGATAGCCCATTTACTAACCTCGTGCCTCTCCTGGAACTCCGACATGTCCAGTCTGATGAAACCCTGCAAGAGAGAGAAACGTTTACCCTGATATTCGATTAAGGTGCTCACAGCTTCGCTCCACCGAGAAGGCTGCTCCAGACCCCGGCGGGTGGCCGGCCGAAGGCACGGTTTTGGGGTTCCCAAGGCCGGCGGGCGCTGGAGCGGCCGGATCCACCGCAAAATGCTGAGGGTTCGCGTGAGGAAGATGATCGCGGTTTCTCAAAAAAAGCCAGGAACAGTTCCCGCTGCCGGCTCGCAGCCCCCGGCCGAGATTCGCTTCAGACGCTCCGCTCGTCGCTAGAGCCGGAGCGATACAGGTGGGACTGAGACAGCAACTCGCAATTTGCTAAATAAAATGGGTATTATTGCTGTTCGGCTCTTTAGAAATAAATCACAAGAAGAACGCCATGCCTCGCCGCAAAAATCAAATCAAAATCAAAATCATAAAGCCGAGGTAAACTAGGTTCGTGGGCGATCGTCTCAAAGAGGCGACACCGGTAGAGAATTTACAGCTGCTACCCAAGCTCCCGTTTTGCATTTGAGAAACTGATGATTCACTGCAGATGCTGAATTTCCTGGGCTTGCAGCTATAACCCAGCTCCTGGAGGTACGGGAACAGTATAGAAGGGAAGGGAAGGGAAGGGAAGGGAAGGGAAGGGAAGGGAAGGGAAGGGAAGAGAAGAGAAGAGAAGAGAAGAGAAGA